TATATATATATATATATTCTAAACAAAGGTTGGTGTTGTGAAGAATGCTAGCTTTTAAAACCTCACTGCATTATTGCATCTTGTAGAAATCACTAGCTAGTTTGTCTCTCAGTGAAAGAAAGTATATAGCTCTCTCAGCTGGTCCTAGATGATAAACTTAGATGCATAAGTATTTATTTATTTATTATGAGAAGCTTATATAAAATCTGTACCTAGGATATCTTTCAGTGTGCCCAATAATTCTGCTTCATCCCCCTGACAAGGGAAATGAACAAGAAAGAATAACAAGAATGTTGAAAAGTACTACATGGGCGTGCCCATAAATACAAACTAGATATCTGACCTCAGAGGAGCCATTTTTTTTAAAGGAGGAAAACATGGGAATGCCCATTTCGTGGTACTGCTGCTTTTCTATTTAACTTAAAATAAACTTTGATGTTGGAGAATCAAATTTTATTTTAAACAAAATTATCATGTACAATTTAATATGTGAACCATAGAAGAAAAAACTGTTTGCATAGACTTTTGCAGCTGATAAAGGGAACTTGTTCAGTATTTTAAACTTAACCAGGTGCATTGTATCTCAGGCTTTTCATAGACTTCAAGTGTAGCTGAACTATCTTTATTGAATTAAGTATTTATTTATTTATTTTACAGTCTTTACACTTCCAGATCTTTGTGAGCAGTTTTCACCTCCAGAAAATGCACCACCCCTTCTTGTGAAATTAGTGGAAACCATTGAAAGAAAAGGTATGAATAGGGTAGAATATAAATTTGAATAAGTTGGCATATTAATTTTATCTAAACCTAATTCAAATACAACTTTTGAAAGTCTTGATTTCGCATTGCAAAAAATAAGTAGTACTGTCAGAACCCATAATCATATATTTGGTTCTGCACATTTCTTGTACAGTTATAGTTTATTGTAAAAGAAATTCTGAAATTTAATTTAGACTTACTTTATGTGATACCCACATGTTGCTTGAACAGTGAATGCAGCTAGTTAGTTTATTAACATATTTAACCAAGTTTTCCTAAAACAGGTAGGAGTCAGACACAAACTTCAGGACAATGCACTTCGCTTAATTGAAGCAAATTATTTTGTCTCTTCAGTTTGACAGAAGAATCTCTTTATCAAGGATAATCTAAGTTGCTTCACATCAGTTTAATATGTTTGCTCCCCCATGTAGAATGGAGAAAACATACATACATAATAGAGAAGTAGTTCCTATGCAAGGGAATTATTACTAGATGTTTGTTTGTGCCTTCCAGTCAGTTTTGACAACAGGCAACTGCCTGGACTAATCCCTGTAGTTTTCTTGGCAAGATTTTCAGACGAGATTTGCCATTGTCTCCTTCCTAGGGCTGAGAGAGAGCAACTGGCCTATGGCCACCCAGCTGGCTTTGTGCCTAAGGCAGAACTAGAATTCATGGTCTCCCAGTTTCTAGCCTTAATCACTCCTCCAAACTGGCTCTCTATTACTTTATATATCTATGTCTGATGAGATCTAGGCTCTTTGGTGGAGTATTTGATGGGAACATATGTCTAGTTTTATATCTGTACTAGACATACAGAAAGACATGAACAAGTAGTTTTTTATGCTTCTACCCTATTATCCTAGTAGTGCCATGTGAATAATTGTGTATTTAAGTTTTTCTCTCCACCAGATTGCTTCACTATCAGTTCTTACCTTGATTTGAAACTTTTTTTACTAAGTTTTTCAGTTGATACTGAAGTTAAAAAAGGATTTACTATTGGTGAAGGTTGAAAGAGTATAAGAGAGTTTGACGAAATTTCTCAGTGTTGTGCTTGCTGCCCACAACTCCTCTTGCGTGGGCCAAGTGTTAAATGGCAGCAGCCTCAAATACTTCCTTTGATAAGAAAATAGCACCTGTGCTACTTTCAACATGTACAATGCTAGTTACATCAGCATACTAAAAGTTTACCTTAAAGAAATCTTACTTGACTTTCTTTTACATTGAACAGGGTATTCGCTTCCAACTTGCCTTAGGTTTTCTTTGTCTCCAAGTGTATTATATAAAAAGGTATATAAAAACAAATATATAGATAAAACTATTTGCAGTTGGTTGTTTCCAAAATACAAAGGCAAAAAACTGCCACAAGAAACTGTGTTTTGTATTCAAAACAACTCTTAATAAATTAAGATTAAGTCTTTCAGCTTCTGAGATCAGTGATTCTCAGATTTTCCCATCAAATACTCCGCCAAAGAGCCTAGGTCCCATCAAGATAGAAACTATGTCACTTTTTCTGAAAAAGGCAAATGGATGTTGAGAGACATTTTGTTGTGCATCAGTTGAAATGTTACTCTTAACAATGCAGGTAGTCTTCAGCGACCACAATTGGAACCAGCAACTCAGTCGTTAAGCGCCATGGTCATTAAGTGAGACATCATGTGACCATGACTTGCGATTTTACTTCCACATTCTCCATTAACTCTGCTTTTTGGAAGCCAGTTGTGAAGCACACAAATGACAATTTCATGACTGTAGAACACTGCAAAGGTCATAAATGTGGCAGTTGGTCACAATGTTTTTTTTTTATACCATTGTAACTTTGAATGGTCACTAAACAAGGCAGTTGGTAAGCAAAGACTACCAGTACTGCTATAATTACAAAATAATGAGTGGAGGCTAACTGGGGCAGAAACAGTTTTGTCACTGTAAGAACAGTTTTCCCCATAGCCCAAACCAAAAGATAACTTCAAATAATGAGAGAGTGCTAACTAATGCAAGATTTCATTTCATTTCATTTCATTTGATGTCCTAAACCTAAGCCCTTCAGAAGCTACTACAAGAAATACTCTCCTGCAGTATTCAGTTCCTTTGCCTCACTACACTTGGAGACTTGCAGTACTGTCCACTTTTATTTGCTTATTAAACTTATACCCTGTCCTTTGTTTAGGAGCTCAGGGCAGCAGTCTTAGTACTCCCTTCCCCCATTTTCCACCTTAGTAACTAGTCAAAGATAGATGGAGCTGAGGAGAAGTGATTGGCTCAAAGTCACTCCGTGAGTTTCCATGACTAAGGGTAGACTTTGGTGTCAGTCTGGCTCCTTCTCTGCTCTTCTGTCTTGTGGGCCTTCTGCATGTCTCAAGTGATTGAGGGTCCTACACTATATAGGTGATGATCAGAACCCCCTCTTCCGTCTTCATTATTATACTGCTATAAATAGTTCTTTTAAAATTAAACTAAGCAACAGGAGACCCTAAATTGAATCAAGGTCTATTACCTTGGAAAATATCTCTTTCTCTTTCCAACCAGAGTTAACTGTAGTATTATTATGATGGTTAGAACTTTTGAAGAGCTTATTCCTCCTCAATATCTTTTCTAGGAACTCATCGTATGCGTTCAAATATTGGTTTGGTTTGGTTGTTGTTTTTTAGTTTTGTTATTTGTTTTGGTCTTTCTCAAAGTTAGGATTTTGGATATAAAACTAGATTAATAATGTTACACAGTCAAGAGTTTGCAAGAAAGACATACTGTCTCTGTACAGGAGAGATTGAGGACATCATTATACAAGAACATGGATGAAATGTAAACAACCCAAAGCTACAGGAGACTTTCAGGATCATAAAACCTAATCTGTTCTTTTTTCTTTTTTTAAGGTCTGGAATGTTCATCATTGTACAGGTCACAAGGGTCAAGCAGCAATGGTGAATTAAGACAAATTATCGAGTGTGGTAAGCACAACTATTTTCAGAAATCAAACAGGGTAATAATTTAATTTCACTGTAATTTGCTTTCGGATAACGATGCCATTTATTACATTCAAATTCCATTATGTGGGATGTATCAAATACTGTGGCAGAAATAGTATTTGGAATAGTCGTAGAGTGAAACCTTATTTAAATGGACTAACTGGAGGGGGGGGTGCCTGTTATTAATGATATTCCAGTAAATTGAAAAGTAAATCATAAGAGACCCAATCACAGCATCTCTGAAAATACCACCATCCTTACCAGTCAATAATAGTTTGCCTCTGTCATCTGTATGCAGAGGAACCCAGTCAGTCCATCACAGTAAAAACACATCATCTTTACAAATGTCTCTGTAAGCAGCGTCTAGTGTCCCAGCCCATCAAACTCACCTGGCTCAGGCAGCAGTAAGAAAAGGTTCAGGAGCCACTGGTAGCCACTGTCACATATTAGGATTTTCCACAATTTACTGAGTGGAAGTGGAAAGAAATGCTACAAAAAGTATTATATGGCAGGACTGTTTTGCACAGCATTCCCTTCCTAGAGGTAACTCTTGTGAGCTTTAAATGCAGGTACTGTTCAACACTGCCTGTTGTGGGGAGGACAAAGGAGAGTGCATCACAGCACAAACATTGCCCCTTTTGAACTTGTGTCATGAGGTCACACCCAAGCATGTAAAGGACAGAGCACACATTTCATCATTTTGATAAAACTTCAGGTTGCTGTAGATACCCATGCATCTAAATGCTGGTCTCCTTGAGTGAAGTTTAGCTCCTGGCAAAAAGATAACGCATAACATGTTTTATGTCTCTGTGTGTCTTTTTAGATGCTTCTACGGTGGATTTTGATGGAATTGAACTTCACATTTTATCAGATGCGTTGAAGAGGTACTTTCTCGACTTGCCAAATCCTGTCATTCCAGCATCTGTTTACAATGAAATGATTTCTGTAGCACAAGGTATGTGTGTGAATGTTTCTCTTGGTATAGAGTTAGGTTTCTGAGGATCCTTATTTTTACAGTGCATGGGGGGTTGTGGCTGTCCACAGAGGGTAGAGGGAGGCAAACAGTGTCACGTGCGTGATGCAAATGCTACAATTTATGTCACTGCATCAGACATGGCACTGGCACGATTATATCGTTTTGTGCATATCATTTTGGTTTGCTGTGGGATGCTGCTGATGGGGTTTGATTCTTTTTGCAGTATGAATAGAAGGACATTATTGTAGCTTCTTCCATTATATGATATACATAAGTTGGGATTATCCACAGCTCATCTTGTTTTCTGGCATGCATAGCTGTAGGATACACATGGGTGAAAATGTATGTGTAAATTACTAGCTCACCCTACATTTTTAGGTACATCTTAGAAACGTAATGTACAAAATAGATCTTAGTGTTAAGAACTCAGTGTAACTTGGCAAGTATAATATTTGTTCAAACACTGGTTAACAAATCAAGGATTCGTATGTAGAAAGAGCTAATTGTTAACTTTTTATCAGTATGCACAAGGTAAATGTATTAGAGTAGGCAAGATTCTGAAGTCCATTTGCAATTTGGGATGCAGTGCAATAAAGACATAGAGATAAGGCTTTGTCTCTTCGTACTGAATTCAGACCGTGTGGACTTAACCTTTTCAGTGGTGGTTTTCAAATTCAGTTGCTCATTACAGGGACAGGATACAACTTTCAAAGTTAGAATTGCATTTTTGAGACTTATCTGCCTCATCTCAGAATTACCCAGTCACGTGAGATACTACACAAAAGAGAGACTTCTTCCAGCATATGCTGAACATTTAGTGGTTTTCACCTAATTATATTTCTGTTTCACTTTGACTTTTATAGAGTTGATTTTTTCCCACCCATGCTTGCTTAATTTTTCACTGTCTTAAGGAAGGAAAAGTGTTTCAGTTTTTACTAAATGAATTAATGTCTTCCTGCAAAACTGATGCTTTTCCATGGCTGTTTAGAACAATTGCTGATGATTTCAAGCTGATAAGGAATTTTTTTTTCCAGAAGTACAGAACTCAGAAGAATATGCTCAAGTGCTAAAGAGACTCATCAGATCACCTAACATACCTCAACAGTATTGGCTCACACTCCAGTATCTACTTAAACATCTCTCCAGACTTTGCCAGGTCTCTACCAAAAACCCTTTAAATGCAAAATCTCTGGCTGAAATTTTTAGCCTTCTATTGTTCAGATCTCCAATAGCCAGGTAAGATGCATGTTCCTGAGTCCTGATAACTATAAAGATTTTTTTTCTTCCAATATCTATTTTATTTTCCTGTAATATATGGTCAGTGTTTTTTTTTATTTTGTTTTTTACAGTTCTGACAGTACTGAACAACACACAAAAATATTGGAAGTGTTAATTACAAGTGAATTGAATGAAAGACAACCTGCACCAGGTAAGAAAACACGTATTTTGGAAATTTTTTGAAGTTCTTGTTTTCAATTTTTGTTCTGTTTTGCAACCAGCGACTGCCACATTTTCTAAAGTTTATGTGGCATGGGGGATGCTTTTAAAAAATGGTATATTTATTTGCAGCGTGATTTTTTTGCTAATGGTATTTGCTGTTCTTTTGTTTATCTCTTTTTTTAGTTGATATGCAGGAAGGTTGTCTTTGTTTCTTTAAACTGTTATGTGTTTGTCATAATGTATAGAAGTGAAATAGCAAGGACTGTACTGAAAGTTGTTTATCTCGGATTAGTAACAGCTAGTGCATCTTGGCACAAGATAGTTCAGAGCTGTAGCACGTAACCGCCCACAAGCTATGTGGACAATAAAAACTGCCCCCAAGGTATCTGTGTGGTGTATTGGACTGTGTACAGTGGCAAAGCCGTTTCTCATGGTATGTAAAGGTAGTGAATTTCCTGCTAGTCTGGTTTCTGTATTTCACCCAAATATAGCTTCTGCGTGGACATACCCAAACTTAAAGTCAACGACATAGCCTTTATTAGTTGTTTTACAACAGTGTTGCAATGAGTGCATGTTTTATTGTGGATGTGGCTTTAAATGAATTGTCATATATATATTTATCATATTCTGTATTTACGAACACAACAGTAACTGCTAGTGGACTAGATATTAGGTGTAGCGCACTGGGAAGTAATGTGACTTGGATTCAAATAACTTCTCTGACATGAACTTTCTAGACAGTCATACAAAAGCTACAAAGTTCTTCCAGTGCCATCTTAAGACTGTTGTCTTGCACAATGGCAAAGAACTTGGTAAAATTAACAAGTAAAGCAAATGTATCCTGCTGATGATCTGAGTCCTCTGAATACCAATCCTTTTATAGCACTGGTGGCACCTCTCAAACACACACAAGGGGGACATCAGCAGATTTGGGGAAATCCTTAGGTTTATAGAAGCACAAAGATCTTTAAGGGGAAAAAAAACCTTATTGTATAACAAGGGAGAATGCAAACCAGAGGTAGGGCAAATACATGATGGAGTGCTTCAAATACAGGTAGTCCTTGGGTTAAGAATACCCGGTTTAAGGATGACCCATAGTTAAGAACAGAGCATATTGTAGCAAAATTTGAGTTAAATACACAATGATTCGAGTTAAATACACAATGGTTCAAGTTAATTACACAATACTACTTATACAGTATTATACAAGAATACTGTTCCAGCTTACATACAAATTCAACTTAGGACAGACCTTGGGAACAGAACTTGTTCTTCAACTGGGGACTACCTGTAATTGCACACCGCAATATTTTGTCTTTGGTCTCATCACTTTTATATTTTTGTTACTGATTTCCTTAAAGCCATCGGTCAGACAGGGATTGCCTAATATTTCAGCAAAAACATTTGTATCTGATACAATGGATCCCTTTCAGCACAAACACAATGCATGGAAAATATACTGCATTCAGAATTAACTCTCTTTCGAGAAGGATGCCATATTTCACGGCACAAAGATTTATCTGATTTTTCTGAGCATCAAACATAAACATTCCATTGTTTCATTTACTTGTCTGCAGAATGCTTTTCTTGAAAGCAGAACTGGGACTTGATTGATTTTAGAAAACAATGGTATTTTTACCAAGTTGTAAATACATTCTGTCTCTATCTTGATATTTGTATTCCAGATGCTAATAGTGACCTATAATCTAGAGGAATCTTAGAGATTATTGTGATGATATATGTGAAATAAGATTTTTTTTTTTTTTACTAGCCACTGGATATGAGCATAAAACTTAAAAGTAAGAGATCTATTTTAGTACACAGTAAATTAAGAAAAGCATACATAGTGGTTAGTCAAAAAACATGGACTAGTTAAACTGTATTGGCTATATTATGGGTGAAGAAAGCTTCTAATCTTACTTATTTTTAAATTTTATGTACAAATGGTTTTATGAGAACTTTGGCAAAAAGTGGGGGGGAAATCCCCTCCCCAAAGTTGAAACTATGCATATCTGTCTGGAATAAGCTCTTTTGAATGCAGTAGGACGTACTTTGTGTAAGTACACATAGGATGGGTCAAATTAGGTTAATCGAGCAGTGAAAAGAAGATATTATGGTAATTAAATGAGGACATGACATATTTTATAATAGAGAAGTATAAAGTGCATTATTGCTTTTATGTTACCCAAATCTCAGTATCAACATGAATCATAAGTCATCTGTGCTTAGAATCTAATCTATTTGACATTACATAATTACAACCCCTTTACTCAACTTGAAGCCAATTGGTATTACAATGTTTGTCCAGCAGAGGGCTCTCTTTTTTAGCGAATAATAACAACAAAGCTGCATACCATTTTTTACTAAATTCAGCACTGTACTTTCTATCAGAGGTTTCAGCTGTTTCTTTAATATAGGAGTTGTAGATAGAATCACTGAAGCAGCCATAGTTGAATGTTAGATCCTGTGTACTCATTCAATTTTTGCTTTGAGAATTCGGTCATCAAACATAATCTTTTCAAATGTCAAAATCCAGTCCTAGAAGTACAGTGGTACCTCTAGTTACGAACTTAATCCATTCCGTGACTCTGGTTGCAACTCGAGTTGGTCTAGTACAGTGGTACCTCTAGTTACGAACTTAATCCATTCCGTGACTCTGGTTGCAACTCGAGTTGGTCTCAAGTCGAGGTAAATTTCCCCATAAGGTTCAGTGTAAATATGGTTAATCCGTTCCACCCTCCAAATTTGGTCGCACCATGAGGCAAATTTCCCCATAAGGTTCAATGTAAATATGGC